AAAAATATTTTGAAAGCACCCAATAATAATGTGGAACGTGGATGTCTAAACCATATAAAGTGAATAAACAAGTCCTCATCAATTCACCTTTTTACATAAACCATGAAAAACCATAAAAAATTTAATTGAGTTCAGTTCTTCGGTCCGAGCCCGAGCCCGAACTGTTTCCTCAATTCAGGGACTGTTGGAGGAACTGGAGCACTGAATGTGTGGCAAAACCCGGCACAGGATCATAAGCGCAAGTATATTGGCTCATTTCAAGTCAGAGTGACTGTCAGGCGTCTGAAAGTGAGTTTTGATTGAGTAACTTGTAGATCAGTGCTGCTACAATACCGATACTTTAAAAGGCCAGTATCACCGATACCGATACGATACTTCTAAATATGAACTTTTACATTATGAAATTTATTCAGTTATTAAAGGGGTCATATGATGCTGCTAAAAATAACATTATTTTGTGCATTTGGTGTAATGAAATTTGTTTATGCGGTTTAAAGTTAAAAAACACATTATTTTCCACATACTGTACATTATTGTTTCTCCTCTATGCCCCGCCTTTTTGAAACGCGTCGATTTTTACAAAGCTCATCGTTCTGAAAAAGCGAGGTGTGCTCTGATTGGCCAGCTATCCAGTGCGTTGTGATTGGCCGAATACCTCAAGCGTGTGACAGAAATGTTACGTCCCTTACCATATTGTGATGCCTGCGGCAACCACATGTGACGACCCCGGGCTGGACTCCGCTTCGTCCACGGTGAAAGCCGATCCGGCGATCCACAGCGCAAAGTTGAAGTATTTCCTCAGCGACCAGCACGGATCAGCTCCAGGCATGACGAAGCGATATCGTCCTCTTTTGGAAGGCCAAACAAAGTAGTTTCGCTTTCACAACAAAGCATACAGCACCTTAACGACACGGCGGCGGCAACAATACTACAGCGAGAATAAAAGTTACGCCTTCTTTCTTTGCGTGAACATTTGGGCGGCGTTATGCAAATCTTCCCACATAGTGAGGTAGATATGTGGGGGCGTGTTAGAACGAGCTGTTTTAGGTTTCTTTTTTAAAGAATATCTCTTTGGATTTGAGACTTTAGTCTTTGCAACTTTACAGATCTTCTTTATGCACCAAGAGCTTGTAACACTCCAAAGAGAAAGGAAAAATTGAAATCGCATCATATGACCCCTTTAAGGCTCATTATAATGATTTAATGGTTTATTAATAAACATGCGATTAGTCGACTAATGCTTCAAATGAACGACTACTAGTCGACCAGAAAAATCCTTAGTCGAGGGCAGCCCTAATAATATTACTGTTTTACTGTATTTTTTGTGTACATTCAAAAAATGAATCCAAGAGGATTACTATTTTATTTGAACTATTTTAATAGTGCGCATTCCTGTGCTGCCAATGAAGAAATGAAGGGTTTTAGAAGACCTATCACATGATGGGTCCAATGTGTCTAAATAAGGGCTAGGAGAGTCGTGGCATTTGCGATTGTGGCTTTGGCAAGACATGGAGTCTGCACACATGCACGGTGAACTAAACGGTGAAGTCTCAGATTTGCGTGCCTGCTTCGCTTTAAAAGGTGTCCATGTAAGGAACATCATCAAAACCAATCTAGAATATAAAATAGAAACTGCAACTTTTGTTGGAGACTGCAGTCAGAGCTCTGCAGGTAACACAATACACATGACCTGATTGATGGACACAGAGGAGGGAAGAAGGTCAAAGTCTATCAACTGTAATGGTAGTTACCTTTCACTCTGATAACAGTAAAGCAGAGACAAACATTACGGTAGTAAGCACATAATCTATGTTTTATTATTCTCTTCTATATAATTTTATAATCTGCAATCAGTTTCTATTACTGTATGAATAAATATTGCCCAGTTCATCTTACTGTATACAGTCATCGGCTTCTATTTATATAAGCCATCCATAACTTATGTTCAGTTGGAGCAGTTGTCTTATTGGATTTCAGCTTGTAGTATGTATGCAAATACTGGCCTACAGGCAGAGTGTTTAAAAGTGCATAGCAGTTTTGTTGAGGAAATTACATGCAGCTGAACTAATCTTATCCAAAAAAATATATATATATATTTTTGTGCAATGATTATTCAAACACTACATTCAATGTGCTTGGTAGAATGTTAAGGTCAGTGCAAAAATCACTTAACAAAAAAGTGATGTTGTATTTCAAGAAAAGTTACATTTAGGAACATTTTATATATAACCATCCTGTAACTATAGCACTTGCAACGTCATAGTCATAGGTTCGATTCCCAGGGAATGTATGAACTGATAAAATACTGATTTGAATTACTTAGTGTAATGTAAGTCACTCTGAATAAAAGCATCTTCTAAATGTGCGAACATAAATGTAAATAACCACTTGAATGGTAATAAATGGGGACATTTAAATTGGCTGATATTGTATATTTTTATATAATATCATGTAATTTTATATATTATACAATATAACAATTTTATATATTATATAATATAGTATAATTTTATAAGCACATTTAAAATAATAATTTAAAAGTAAATTGTATTAATTGTAACTAAAGCATAAAAAAATAAAAAAGTTTTTAAAAGAAGCTTCTTATGCTTATCAATGTTGCATTTATTTGATCAAACAATATAGTAAATCAGCAATATAGTGAAATATTACTACAATTTGAAAGAACTGTTCTATTATTATAAATGTTGAAAATGTCATACATTTCTTTCAGGATTCTTTGATGAACAGAAAGTTCAGAAGAACAGCACTTATTTGAAACAGATATGTTTGTAACCTCACATATGTCTTTACTGTCACTTGATTAATTAAATGTATTCTTGCTAAATAAAAGAATTGATTTATTTTATATTTAGAAAATTAATACTCTGAAGCTTGGAATGCTTTTGTTTCAACAATATTAAGCAGCAAAAACATTCATATTATGTCATTTTTCAATCAGAAATGTTTCTTGAGCAGCATATTAGAATGATTTCTGAAGATCATGTGACACTGAAGACTGGAATAATGATGCTGAAAATACAGCTTTGATCACAGGAATAAATTACATTTTAAAATATATTACAACAGAAAACAGTTAAACGATTTTGCAATTCTGACTTAGTTCTTGTAAGTCAGAATTACATTAAAACATCTTAATTATTCCAATTTTATGAGCAGAAGTGTATAAACCAGTAAGTATAACTGCAGCACGTGCCATGACCTGCAACTCAAAATTGTAATGTATGTAATCTTGAAAATTACTGAATAAAAAATAAAAATTACGGTCTCGGGAATATCAGCAGCCACACATGTAAGTGATAGCCATGAATGCCTTTCTAACAGGTTACATTCCACTGTAACTCAACGTGCTTGAACTCCTGAAGAAGCAGAATAGAGTAAACCAAAACCAAGACCTCTCTGCTTACGTGACATCATTGGATTGCTCTTTAAAAAGCCATTCCAAGGGGGTGGATATTGAAGTTCATGTTCAAGCCGTAGTATTAATAGACACCTGGATGAGGCGGTGATAACATACAGTATACATACTGAGTCAGTGGGCCAACCGTCTATGAACATATCCAGAAACAAATGTGAGAAAATCTCAGAAACCACCAAAACCTCACAATAACCCCCCAAGGCCAAAAGTTCCAATATTTTCCAATCACACCTATTATCACAGGAATAAATGACTATCCAGCTGAGCAAAAGCAGCGGGCCAATGCTGTTGAGAATTACTGTGATCTCTGCCCTCCAGACAAAACAACAATCTCAAACTTTTTCTTTAGTTTTGTTTTTGTCTTGCCATTGTCAAGAAAGTCCATTTACACATGGAAATATATGCTTTGTTATTACAGTAATACCTGCAATCTAGGACAGTGGCAGTCCAATGAAATATTACCGTCTAAAATAACTGTTTTCTGATTGAATATATTAGCCTTTAGTGTCACGTGATCCTGCAGAAATAATTCTGATATGCTGATGTCTGTTTAAGAAACATGGGTAATTATTATCCATGTTGAACACAGTTCTGCGGCTTCATATTTTTTGTGGAAACTGTGATACGTTACCATTCAAAAGTTTGGATTAAGAAAAAAGAAGGAAATTAATCGTTTTTGTCAGCAAGGATGCATTTAATTGTCAAAAAATGACTGTAAAGACATTTATAATGTAAAAAAAAAACATATATTTTTTCAAATAGATGCTGATCTTTTGAACTTTTTATTCATCAAAGAATCGTGGAAAAAAAGGTTTCACAGTTTCCACAAGAATATTAAGCAGCAATGTTTCCTACATTGATAATAAAAAATAAAATTAATAGTTAAGCACCAACAATAATTAATAATAACTGAGCAGCAAATCAGCATATTAGAATGATTTCTGAAGGATCATGTGACACTGAAGACTGGAGTAATGATGCTGAAAATTCAGCTGCGCATCACAGAAATAAATTACAATTTACAATATATTCCAATAGAAACTTCTTTTCATTTAAAATAATATTTTATAATACTATATTTTGATCAAATAAATGCAACTTTGGTGAACATAAGAAATGATAAGAAAAAATAATAATAATTGTTACAAGTTTTTGAATAGTGTACTTTCCAAATGGTGTTCATTTATGCTTAAACTATTTCCACCGGAAATGCACTTGATAGCAAGCTAATGCTATGAAGTCACATGACATATATAACTTTTATACAGCAATTGAAATATTTCAACTGGAAATGCACTTCTTCTATAAAGTGAATGGTACGCAGTCACATGATACAGTATATAGCTTTACTTTGCAATTTACTACTGTCCAAATTCAAGACACACATGCATATGTAAGTATTGCAGTTGCCTGGAATTTGTGTGACAGTCTAGGAGAAAGTACAGGCGGCACAATATATTATATATATTCCACTCATGTGTCAATCTTTAGTAAATTATTAATAAAGTGGTGACAACAATTAGTGGAGTCCCGTAGAATAAGAACACTTGAATGAAACACTTACCCACAGTCCCTAAGCCTCAGGCTAGTGTACTCCTGTATGCTCCTGCTTAGACAGACTCCAGAACCATTCTTCTGATAGTGGTACCCATTATCCAAAGATCTTTCCTCTGTAGGATCTCCAGTGAGAAGCAGGTGCTCCAAACCAAGAGTCAACAAGTGAAAGAAAGCATGACTGAGTGGTTAGGCGGGCTGTAAAATCAATGAGTCACAAACAGGGACAGTGAAGCTGTTATTCTATTCCAGGGACAAGAGGTGCAACGCCGCACATGCTTGCTCTATCAGTGATTGTGTGCAGCTCCACTGCTGCTGAGCTATATTTAACCTCTTCGCTTACTCAGTTGTAGCCAGTAGGGTGTGAGAGTGACATGAGGCTCTCAGAAGTGACAGCTGAGCCTTCGGATCCTCACATCAGAGAACCTCCAGGCCTCAGTTACTCCACCCGCATGCAGTCCAGGTACTGCTGTGACAGCACACAGTGTAGGAGTTGACCTTATGAAAGCTCAAGCAGCAGAGGAATTAGCTGAGCCAGCTTAGATCAGCAACTATCCTGTTTATTTCCATTATCATAAAATAATATATACAAAACCACTTCACAGCTTCTTTCTTTCTTAAAGGGGTCATATGATGCGATTTCAATTTTTCCTTTCTCTTTGGAGTGTTACAAGCTCTTGGTGCATAAAGAAGATCTGTAAAGTTGCAAAGACTAAAGTCTCAAATCCAAAGAGATATTCTTTATAAAAGTGAAGAGTTAACCACACCTACCTAAAACGGCTCGTTCTAACACGCCCCCACATATCTACATCACTATGTGGGAAGATTTGCATAACACCGCCCAAATGTTCACACATGTTCTTTTTAGCAGCATCATATGACCCCTTTAATAATAACTATAAAAAGGTAAAGACAACGTTTATGGAAGCTTGTAAAAATGATGAAATAATTGCAACGTTTTATCTTACAATTCAGACTTGTTTCAATGGCAATTGCAAGTTTATAAATGCAGATTTGTGAACTCAATTCTGATTAGAATAAAAGTTCGAATTGAGAGAGTGATGGCTGGAAAAAGTACATTTCAATGCTTTTGTGTTCTCTCACAAAAGTATTGCGTTCCTCTGAGAACCTTATTGGAAATAATATGGGATGAATATTTGTGTGCAAAGTTTCTGACAATAACACAATATTTTTGTGTGTGATTTCAAAGGTGTATGTACATGTGTAGTCACATTTGTATATGTATGTGTAAATGAATCAATTTATATTTATATGTGTAAGTGTAAGGCTTGTGTAGGTCACACTTTAGTTTTGAGACCAATTCTCACTTTTAACTAACTATTAACTATGAGTTTTGCCTTAGTAAACTCCTAATTTTACCCTTTTGTGTATAAGTGTAAATGTATGTTTATGTATGTAAGTGTAAGTGTGTATTTGGAGATTTATGTGTGTAAGGTATGTATAAATGTATATTTATAGTCATGTGAAAAAGAAAGGACACCCAATTGAAATCCATGTTTTCCATATCAGTACATAATAAAAAAAAAATCATCTGGTCCATGGCAGGTCTTAAAATTTGGAAAATAAAACCTCATGGCATATCACACCATCTCATTATTTATTTAGCAGTTAATTGTTAACTATTAAGCGTGAGAAGCACTATAATTTGGTATCGGAGTAAAATGGCTGAATAGCTTCTCAATCAATAAAGCAAGCTTTGGAATTCATATGTAGATCCATGGTACACTCACAGAGTTTGACATAATTAGTTTGCAATGAAATCTGCCATCTCCAAAAGGCTTATTGATCATTAATTATTATCGTAATTTTTATGTGTCCTAATGATATTGAATACATATTTGTCACTTGCCAGACATGACTGAACATATTGCTGTCCACTGAATTGCCATTGGTGCCTGATGACTGCAGTATGCGGCTATATTACATTTTTGGATGTACTGCATGTGTGTATTGATGGATGGATTTATTTATTTAATTATTTATTTATATATGTGTGTTGTTGACCGGGTACTGTTATTAACAGTATTTCAAACAAAATTGAGTTTTGGAGCTTTTTGTGCTCAGAGGACTTAGTTTTCAGTGATGAGGGCAGTAACTGATGCTCTGCTGTCCTCTTGCGTTTGGATCCAAACTTTCAAGCGAAAAGCTGACGTGAAAAAATGACAAAAGCAGGAAACCTTTCGTTTTCGTCTTTTTTTTCTGTTTAACTAGTGTTAAAGTGATCAGATATCGTGTGTTTATGATAAAAGCTCGACGATAAAGTTAACATGCTATAAAAATGTTTACTTAAATTTACTTTAGTATTAGTATTGCAGAAATATATTAAGTTGCTGTTTGTATGAACTCAAGGTAAATGTAGCTTTAAATGTAGCGCGGTCACGGATAGGCTGCTGCTGCTGCTGGCAGTTTGATTGACAGGCGATCTGACCAATCGTCACGCGTTGTTATGTGCCTCTGTTGCTATCCGCCATTTAATCCGACAAACAAAACAGTCTGACAACAAGCATGTTAGGCGTAGTAAACTAACGTTGGTTGTTCACTTGGAAAATGGTGAAAAGGTGCACGTATGTGGCTTGCAACGCAGACAGCAGGTACCCAGAAAGGCTGGGCAACATACAGTTTCACCCGTTCCCTAAACCTGCCAGAAATCTGCAGAAGTGTATGAAGTGGATAAGTTTGTGTGGCCGGCCTCAGCAGCAGCTCTGTGACAGGCTGAGAAACCATTCCACAGCCAAACACATCTATGTGTGCTCAAAGGTAACACAGTTATACATACTGCACCTTTTTAACTCTGTAGCACAAGCCTTGATTTATGTACGTTTTACAAGTTGCCATAACCAGAGAAATGTATCCAACCCTCTACTGACACCTTAGCAATTGAATCGCCATTGGCTAGTACATTTTTTAGTTTACTCGCCAGACTGATATACTATATATATATATATATACACATACATACTGTATAATACTGTATATGTATGTTTTTAAAATGGCACAGCTTTTTAAATATCTGAAAGTACTCTCTTAACATTAGTCAGTCAAGCATTATAATATGATATCAGAATAATCAAGTATTATTTAATGATAGAACTTTAGTAATTAGAATTAAAACTTGGTAACCATGTATGAATGCATAGACATTTTAACTGAATTTAGTACTGGTGGTGGTGCTTTGTTGGTCATTCAGGGTTTCTGTAAAAAAAAAAAAAGTAAAACAACTAACAATAATACTGATAAGATGATGATAATAATAATAATACGAATTCTACTAATAAGAGCAGTATAAAACGCACTAAGGATTAATGAGCTGCTGGATTCATTCTGGATAATCAAAACAGGGATGATAATAGGTGAGCACCAGCCAATGAGATTGCCGTTTGAGCATTAGTTCCGCCCACTATCGGAAAACCCGGCAGTTCTTAAAGGGGTCATATGATGCTTATTTAGAGATCATTATTTTGTGTATTTGGTGTAACAGAATATGTTGACATGCTTTAATGTTCAAAAAACACATTATTTTTCAAATACTGTACATTATTGTAGGTTCTCTATGCCCCGCCTCTCTCAAACACGTCGTTTTCAACAAAGCCCCCTCCTTTGACAAGCGATGAAACTTGGTACACTTGTATAGTTTGCGGCCCTAAACATTTTCAGAAATGGAGCCATCGCAAAAATACCTTGTGGTTGCCATGGTGACCATTTTACTTTCTGCCATAACCAAATAATCTCCTGAACCAAACATGATAACACTGAAAAGGTGATGTCTACCCCTATGTTTTGATGGTCAAGGATTACAATGATACCATATACAAAAGCATAAACTGTTCAGGTGAAGAGTTAATGGTGAAATCAGCAATGTGAGAAGGAAATAACAGTATCTGAGCATCACAGGATCACAGCATTTACAAAAGTCCATATTATGGCAATTTTTTTTTCTTTCTTTGATACTTAACTAATATTTTCTTCAATAATACATTAAAAGATTGTTCTCAAGAATACTATCATATATTTCAGATATATAAAAAATTCATCTCAGGTAAGTGTATTTCCTTACCTCTCAGGCTGAGTCGGGTAGGCGGTAGTGTGTTTCCAATACATTCTTGTTCTCTCTCAACAATGCTCTAACATCACACGCTGAGCAATGTAGCCAATCGTGCTGCCAGCTGTAGGGATTATATTAAAGGTACACTCTCACGAAAAAAGGTACAAAAGCTGTCACTGGGGCGGTACCTTTTCAAAAGGTACACTTTTGTACCTTTTAGGTACTAATATGTACACTTTAGGTACCAATATGTACCTTTAAGGTACCAATATGGACTCTTTAGGTACAAAGTTGTGCCTTTTGAAGAGGTACCACCCCAGTGACAACTTTTGTACCTTTTTTTCTGAGAGCGTAGCGCTCTTTGCTTGCTTTCTGTATTTAATCTATTCACGATTAGAATCAGTTTTTAATAAATTAGTTTTGTGTACCTCATGTAGGAGATTTAATGAAGGTGCGGTTCGGGTCTACAAATACACTTTTTTTTTTTTTAAATAAAAGATTTGATGATGCATATTATATACCAGCAAGCAGATGCGATCAGAATATGAGCCCAATAAGCTAAATTGCCTAAGCATTTTCCCATAAAGAACATACACATAAGGAGTGCCAGCTGCCTCTAGCCAATACTGTATATACGCACACACGCGCAAACATTTATTTATTTATTTAATGTAACACTTTAGTTATTAACTAGTTGCTTGCATATTACTATATTAGCCGTTTATTAGTACTCATAAAGCACATACTAATGAATTTTGAAAAATGATATTTTATTCATATGTTATGCTATGTCCTTTGTAGAGGACACCAGGACTCAAAAAAAAAAAAAATGACATGAATAGGCAAAAACAATGGATTTTTTTTTTTAAATCAACAATACATTTTTAGGTTTCAGGATTTTTTTTTATACCAAAGTTTGTATAAAGATGATTCTCAACTATGTTATGAAAGATGTAACATAATTATTTGATATATAATTTTGCTTTGTGTAATATGTGTGTAAAATGGCCTAAGAGGGTTTTCCCAGTATATACAATCTATCTTTACTCTGCATCTAATTTGCATATTAATGTGTTCTTGGGGCAACGTAATGATAAAAGAAGTGTAATAATGGGAGTAATAATTGGCTAGATTTTCATGACAATATCTAATATTTCATAGGAATATTGAAATATCATTTCTTTCCCTATTCAAAATATAATTTGTTTCCCTATTCATTTGTTGTGTCTCCCAAAATGTGTAATAAACATGCTTTAAGTCCTGGTGTCCTTTACAGTGGACATGTATGAAATTGATGTCCTGTTATGTAACAAAGTCATATTTTGATTTGAAACCCCATATAATTTTCCTGAGATGCTGATTTATGACAAACAATTTTAAAAATGGGTCAGATTTAAATGATGATTACAAAATATTATATTTCCATAAGAGTGTTATGTTTGATCGATCCTTAAATTAATGTCAGCCATTTTTAAAGACTAAGAAGAGGGCGTGGTCATAGTCAAATCTCCAAACATTTGGTATTTATGAAAAGCCCTGAATGTGCTCTTTTCAGGATATCAAGACTCACTAAAATATAATGTCCCCTACAGAGATGAAAAGTCTATTTCTGGGTCCCAGGAGGTTATTATTATTTATTTAGCATATTATTTTTGAAATATTAAATGTATATATCATTTTTACAGGTGTGATCTACAAGGCGTTTCCATTGTTATTAAAAAAGAGATGGTAGCAGAATCAATCATGGAGGATACCACTACAGAGGAGAGTACTATTGTCATTAAAATGGGTATGTGTTTTGTTTTTTGTTACAGTGATCTCTCTAATAGGGATGGGCGAATCGATCCTGAAGAATCAATATATCGATACTGATGCGAGTAACAAAAGTATCGATACACAAATAAAAAATATCTATACTAAGGTGTTTTTATTTACCAGTGATTTTATTTATCAAAAAAATAATGCATACAATATGCATTAAATAATAGTTGTGTAGGAAGGAACTATTTTCTTGCTCATCTGGACACACGCAAATGTTGCAAGGCAGAATCAATCAATCACAGAGAGCGTTTACTCACTTCTGACAGTGCATTCAAACAGAGCTGCGTTTCCCAAAAGTAGCCTATCATAAGAAAGCATTGATGTATTTGGGAACGGCAGCCGAGAACAGTGCAGAAAAAAACATACATGTTTGAGTTATTTCACAATAAACAAATTGAAATTGTAGCCTTGTTTGTGCAGTACATTTATTTAAATTTGAACATTACAGAATAGAACATGATCAATATGAACTTTTAATGTTAATATAAATCATACACTCTCAGAATAAAAAGGTTGCATTTTATGCATGCAACAGCCTGTCACTGGCAGTCCCTTATGAAAATGAACCATGGTTTTACTAAAGTGACCATAGTTTAACTATACTATTTGTAGATTTCCATGGTTACCACTACAGTAAACATATTTAAACCATGTGTAAACAAAAATATAACGTAATAAGTTGCAATTAAGAATTGAATGTTAAAATGTGTTTCAAATATAAAGTTAAGTGGGTATTATTACCCATTTTACTCTTAGTAATTTAATAAATTTCATAATTTAAAAGTTCAGTTTAGAAGTATCGATATTGACCATACTGGCCATTAAAAGTATCGGTATCGTATCGAAAACAAAATAAGTGGTATCGCCCATCCCTACTCTAACTGCACAGGGCTGGTAGGACATTTTTTTTTTTTTTTAAGTAGTTTAGTTTTCATTTTTTCCCCACATATGGCAAAAAAAATTAATCTGGTGGGGGTTTTTTGTTTTTTTTGTTTCTCAGAACATTTGACTGATTTTTACGATTTTTAACTAGTCAACTTGAAAATGTACAGTAACTACAACATGATTCAAGTAACTTTTTCTTTAATAACCCTCTAGTTGTCAGACTCTGTTCCATGTTTTGTCTGTCTTGCTCCCCAGGTGTTCCTTTCCCATGTTTAATTTGTCCCAGGTGTTCCCCATGATGGTTCATTGATCCCAGGTGTGTCTCGTCTCCAGCGTCTCCTCGTTCCTCGTGTGTGTGCAACGTGACACTAGTTCAGGGGTCACCAAACTTGGTGTCCTGCAGAGTTTAGCGCCAACCCTAATCAAACACACCTGAACTAGCTAATCAAGGTCTTGCTAGCTATACTTGAAATTAACAGGCAGCTAAACTCTGCAGGACACCGGTCTGGTGACCCCTGCTCCAGTAAAAGAAAATTCTATTCCAAGTGCACCACACATGAAGTTGTCAACATGATGTAAATGTTAAACAAATCACTTGTTAAATATCTTTGCAAAGATGCATGATCTACAACTACATCTTGTACAAACGTGTCTTATGCATATGATATGTTCTGAAATAATACAAGGAAAAAGCTTAAAAAAATTCTCAAGTCAAGGTAATTCAAATTCAGAATGACTGAAGGTATAACACCAGTAGACTATTGTTAACTATAAAAGTTCTGTATAAAATTTTTTAAAAACCAGCAGCTTTCAGCCTGTCACCATGATGCAAACATGAAATATCAGACACACAGTAGTAGTTCTTTACAGTTTTTTTTTTATTTGATTGACCTGCTTTTCCATTGTTTATTCTATGTAAACATGGACGCATTTGACTGTTGCGCTCGCGTCTCTTGCAGCACCTCATGCATTAAACGGCATTCTAAAATAGTGGCACTCAATTTAAAAGATATTCGACTACCATCTTGCATTTTTTTTCCCACTGCCCGCGTCGCATCTTTGTTGCTGACAAGCAGTTGGATCATTCTTTTCTCTTTACTGTTATCATTGGCATATTGTCAAAGTGTCTAATTCTAACGTTTGGTAATATTTATTTCTGTTCAAAATGGTGAATTCCTCAATTTATAAAAAATAAAATCATGGCAAAACATTAAATTCGAATTCATCGATAAAATCTGAAGAATCACCCAGCCCTATTTCCCACATTTCTGCATCAAAGTGAATGCGTTCTAGATGGTAATCATTGTCAAACTTCACAAAGTCACACCATGGTATCCCAGTCATCCCCATCTGTCCTATAACTTGGTAATAGTACTCATGGTAACGTTTGAGACTGTGCTTCTGGAGGTATTGACAACCTGTGGAGCTGTATTGGTCTGGGCACTTTATTTCTAAAAGTCCATAGCTTTTGTTGTAGCCATACTGAAGGACTTTCCTGTCAGGAGATGTACCTTAATGGAGGGCATGTAGACTTGTGTATTGGGCTGCAGCAACTGGCTCAAGCTCCAGGCCTTTCTTCATTGCTTTGGTTTGCAGTGTTGTCTTCTTCCTCAGCATACTGGTGGCAAGCTGCCTCTTAGTCTGCTTTCCTGGAGTATGCTCTCTTGAAAGAGGATGAAGTAAGATGAGGCGAGCGGACAGAGTGCCAATTGTTGTTGATGCTCTGTTGTCTGGGTTCTTTCTCCAGTGCCTCTGATTCAGACTTTGAGACCGTCATTGCATTGTAGCATTCCATCTGGTCTTTTGTTAGGGCTGTAAAGAAGGTGCTTGGTTGTGGTGACAAAGGGAAAAGTGGAAGATCATCAGTAGGGTTTGACAGGGAGGATCTTGGCCAAGTGTTGTCCAATAACGGAAGCAACACAAACACACAAGAAAAGGAAAAAAATATTGCAATGTTTGTAAGTTATTTACATTGTGTTTATGTCCTGTGTTAATAACACACTAGTTTAAATCATTTCATTCTTATGTTTCCAGAGTGCACAGATGACCAACCCCAGACAGAAGAAACACAGGTGGAACTGGAAAGACTGAAGACTCTTCTTGCTCAAAAAGAAAAAGAAAATGACTTGCTAAGAGAGAAAATACAAGCTCATCAGGCTCTTTACCCACTAACACCAGAGACTGTAAATAACAGCAGTGTCCCTAACTACTTCAAATACTGCACTGGGTTCACTTACGATGAATTTAACGAACTGTGCCGATTTTTCGCCCTTCCAGATAATGAAACAGTCCCACAAACACACATCCCCTTGACATGTGATAAACTGAACAGGCACATCCGCCACATGCCTTTACGTCAACAATTTCTACTTGTACTTATGAAACTAAGACAAAACTTCGACCTGGAAGAGCTAGCTTTCAAATTTCAAACTGATATGCAAAGTGTTAGGACTTTATTCAGTTCATGGATTGACTTCATGTATGACAGGCTATGTAATCTGTCTGTTTGGCCACACAGGGACATCATTGCAGAAAACATGCCCGACAACTACAAAGCAGAGTTTCCAACAACTTTTGCCATTCTTAATTGCACAGAGATAAAGATAGAGAAACCTAGCTCACTGTCAGCACAAAGTCAGACTTGTTCTAACCGTAAGTCTACTAACACACTCAAGTCTCTGATAGCCTGTGATCCTCATGGCTCCATCATGTTTGCATCTACGCTATACACAGGATCAATTTCTGACCAAGAGCTGTTTAGACGGTGCGAAATCAAAGATTTACTGAAAGGTCTGCTTCAGTGTGGCCACCTTAAGAGAGGTGATGGGCTGATGGTGGATAAGGGATTTCTCATTGAGAAAGATGTGAAGGAGCTTGGCCTTCAACTAAACATTCCTCCGTTTGCAAATCTTCACATGCCAGTCCCAGATGTTCAGATAGCAAAAAAAATAGCCAAACACAAAGTGCATGTAGATAGAGCAATAGCCAACGTCAAAAAATTTAAGATAGTGTCTGGTAGAATCCCTAATTACATTTTAGAAAATATAAATCAGATATGGTTTGTGGTGTGTATGTTGTCTAATTTCCAGCGACACAGCATTCAGGCATAAGTTGCTGAAGAACCCACATAGGGACAGCAAAGTGCTGCAGTTAATTCATGGCCATGATTTCTCTCTGCCTGTCACGCAAGTTATTATAATAAATTTGCATTTTGTATCCCATTTTTAACCTTTCAGATTCTTGTTAGTGTGAATGTTTTTCTTTTGTAATGATAATAATCCAGTCTTAATCTGTATCACTGTTTTACCTGGTAGCTCAAACCACTTGCAAGAGGGTACTTTTCCTGACCTACTGCATCTATTGGTGGCCTGTTTGCTATGTAGCTCACAGGTGTCCCTGTCCAAATCCTCATTTGCCACTTTAGACAAAGCTCTGCAATATACAAAATTCACATCTACTTGTCATACAAATTTAGATTACTTGTACTCCAACACCACAGTAAGTTGCACGGTTTATCATATTTGGTATTTCTATCATTATTTATAAATCATGAAAACAGCTCACCTACCATTGCTGTAGTGACAGAAGTTGGATATGTTTTCGGTTTGGAAGTTCACCCCCACCACAACAGCTGTTACGGGCAGCGGTTTAAGTTTTCTGCCTCTTGGATTAGGCTTGTGGAGGACTGGGCTGAGAAACTGCACATTTTTGGGGCTTTACAGAGGTCCAGGGTATAGATAAGACCAACGACATGGGCGTAGAAACTTGTGGAGCTAACCAGATGTTGTTACAGCACACTATAGGCTAATAATGTTATGGTAATTAGCTAACGCCAGCTAGGATGACTTACTGAATGTGACGTTATAGATGCATACTGCTTTTGCGTTTTAATGATTCTAATTAGGGTTGGGTATCATTTGGGTTTTTTACAATACCGGTGCCAAATTGATACTTTTAAAATGGTACTGGTGCCTGAACCAATACAAAAAAAAGCCACAAAATTACAGTGGATGACATTAGAAATTGCGTTTTTATTGAAGAAACAAAAAAAAACAACAACTTTACATTGAACAGTATATTAAAATGTTAAAGTATATGGAAATACAGTGCCTTGTGAAAGTATTCATACCCCTTCATTTTTTTTCACGTTTTTTGTTATGTTGCTGCCTTATGTTAAACTGCTTTAAAGTACTTTTTTCCCACATCAATCTACACTCCATACACCATATTGACAAAGCAAAAACAAAACTGCCACAACTTCGTAAATGTATTAAAAATAAAAAACCTGAAATAAGTACATTGCATAAGTACTCATACCCTTAACCTTGGGCGACATTTGACTCTTGAGTCGGGGGGCAAGGAAAAAAAAAATGACGAGCATTTTCTCTTAAGTTTATCTGGGGCTTTGAGACGCCTTCCTCCACGCCGTTGTTCAGAGGTTAAAATAAAATTCCAACAGATTTTACATGAGGCAGAATTTACCTCTGACAATTAGTAAAACACTCGCATACGTACATACACACAGACAGACAGACAAACACAGAAATACTTATATACAGCTGTAATTGCTTCAATTTTTATATTTATTTTTATGACACTGTTTTATTTATGAATCTGTACATGGAAATTGATGATTAAAAATATATTTTAAATTAATCTACTTTCCCAGTCATTTATTTTACTTTAAATTTTGGTCAGTGTTTTATTTTTGTTGCAATGTATAGCTTGCTGGTGAAAGCAAAAATGGAAATATGCTCATTTTCTAAGGTTTTGGGTGGCTCTTAAAAGAGCCTTTCTTGATACTACTGGTGGTGGTCCTGATGTTGATGTTACTGATGGTAGTGGTCCTGATATTCATGCTAAAGGTTGTCTTGATGGTAGTGGGAGTCATTACAAGGCATTAGATGACAGAATGCTGCCATGCAACTTCACCTGCAGGAGAAGAGAAGTAGGTGGTGTACCTCTGTCTAATTTCTAGTGCTTCCCTAGAGGCGTTGTTGCTGCCTACTCGCTGGATGGGCTGCATAGCAAGCTGCTGCTCTAATGGCAGGGGGACACAACTTCCTTCCTCTTCACCAGCATCCTCAAAGCGAAGGAAATTGTGAAGGATGCAAGTGGCCTTCACCACTGCATCAGCAACTTTTGGTGAAACACCAAGCACTCTGTGGTAGAGTCTCCATTGAGCAGCAAGGATCCCAAATGTGCACTCCACCATCCTCCTTGCACGGGAAGGACGGTAATTGAACACACGCTTCTCCCTGTCAAGTTGTTTTCCTGTATAGGGTCGTAGAAGGTTCTTCTTCACAGGAAAAGCCTCATCACCCACAAATACATGTGACACAGGTTGGAGGTCTTCTGCTCCTGGTAAAGGTGCATCCTCTGGCAGGTCAAGGGGGAGGGCCTTACCAAAGTCAGAGGCACAGAGGGTCCCACCATCACTGCTTTTCCCATATGCCCCCACATCCACCATCCGGAAAAGGTACCTGGCATCAACTACTGCTAGGAGGACGATGGAGAAGCTCCCTTTGTAATTGTAATACATGGACCCTGTTGATGATGGGGCCTGTATTGCAACATGCTTCCCATCAATTGCTCCCAGGCAGTTGGGGAAGTTCCATAGCCTATGGAAGTCTTCAGCGATCTTCTTCCAGTGGTGTTGTTCAGGGAAAGGCATGTATTCCTGGACCATGCCAGACCATATTGCCTCACACACATCTTTTACAATTCTTGCCACTGTGCAGTAACCCACCCTGTAGCTGAAAGCTATTGATCGGAATGAGTCTCCTGTTGATAGATACCTGAAATAAAATAAAAAAGTTGCAATGGGTCATAAATTTTATGTGTGCGTGCATATGTGTATATATATATATATATATATATATATATACACACACATGCTTTAATTATATTAAATGATTCATGAGTTCAGATATGTAAAATATTGCTTTGAAATATAAAATATATTGTATTACTGAATCATAAATACCTAGAAACTTAATAATTATGCTACACTCTACGAGACAAATATTTGACAAATATATTATTTTTACTTCACTGATAAAACACCTTGGTATTTTCAGATTAATGAGAAAAATATCAATGTAAGCATAATAATTATTTCACCTATGCACATAGGTTACCTCAGACAAATGGAGAGACGTTCTTCCAAGCTGATGGCTTCCCGGTAATTTGTGTCTCGCCTTGTAATAGAAGGTCCGATTTTCTGAAGCAACACTTCAAATTGTGCCCTGCTCATCCGAAAGTACTCCTTGAACCGGCTTTCCGAGCTGATGGCTTCCCGGTAATTTGTGTCTCGCCTTTTAATAGAAGGTCCGATTTTCTGGAGCAACCAGGGGCGGACTGGGACAAAAATTCAGCCCTGGCACTGTAGCCACACCGGCCCACATTACCACACCGACACAGCCCCACCCACAGACACACGCATTCACTACTTACATTTGTGTACAGATGGTGAAATAATATAAGCAGTACCATATATGTAACAGATATTTAAACATTTAATGTATGTGTCTGGCAAACAATGCTCTGTCTGTTGGGTTTTTCCTACCTCTACCATACTCCTCCCGGTCTCTGCTTGGTGTACTGTAGCATCCTTACTCACAGCACTGGTGTTGAAAGACCAGGGGTCTCTGGCTGTACTGATTCCAGCAACATCCTAGTTAATGAACACAGTATAGGACTTAAACATTACAGCAAAATATTTTCTCACTGACTGCTCTCAACATTAGAATACACATGAATACAAACAAGTAATAATAGCAAAAAAGGGAATAGAATATATAGCAAAAACTATCTCTCTCTCTCTCTCAGCTTTATCTGCTGATATTTCAGTCATGCAATTCAGTAACAAGCTCGTTAACACTTAAAGGGGTCACATGATGCTGCTAAAAATAACATTATTTTGTGTATTTGGTGTAATGAAATTTGTTTATGCGGTTTAAAGTTAAAAAACACATTATTTTCCACATACTGTACATTATCGTTTCTCCTCTATGCCCCGCCTTTTTGAAACGCGTCGATTTTTACAAACTGATTGGCCAGCTATCCAGTGCGTTGTGATTGGCTGAATACCTCAAGCGTGTGACGGAAATGTTACGCCTCTACCATACTGTGAAGCCGCGTCCGGCTGGAACGATGAGACAAAAACATTAAAACCCATTATGAACGAGGCATTAGGCATTTGTAGTGGGGACATAATTACGGATTATAATGACTTACAGTGGGTACGGAAAGTATTCAGACCCCAGACCCCCTTTCACTCTTTGTTATATTGCAGCCATTTGCTAAAATCATTTAAGTAAATTTTTTTTCCTCATTAATGTACACACAACACCCCATATTGACAGAAAAACACAGAATCGTTGACATTTTTGCAGATTTATTAAAAAAGAAAAACTGAAATATCAC